ATAGAAGGATGTATAAGCTGTATAGAGACACAATTAGGAATAATAACTCAGAAAAAGAAGGAGCTACACACAAATGAACCGTTAATAAATTTAAAAGTATTAGTATTAGAAGCAAAAGTTAAGAATTAGAAGAAAGAATAGTAAGATTAGAAAAAGGAAAGAATGTTGAAAAAGAGCTACAACTAGACAATCAAGAATTAATGAATGAAGAATCTAATACTTTGATATGTAATGAAGATAAAGATATAAATACTGTTAAAATATTAGAAAAACTCAAAATTGGAAAATATGAGATAGAGACATTAGCATTAATAGATTCAGGATGTACTAAAAGTATTTTAAATAAAAAAATTGTACCTCTAGAACTAATAAAAACTTTAGAAAAACCACTTGCAGCTATGCAAATGGATGAAACACATAATATATACAGATATTATATAGATAAAGCTCAAATAAGCTTCATAAATACTTGTTCAGAATTCGATAAACCTACCTATAAGATGGATAAAATATGGGTAAGAGATTTAGGTATTAGAATAGATTTTGTGTTAGGACTAGACTTTATACTACATAATAAAGGAGGAATTTTAATAACTAAAGATGGGATACTTTTCATGAAAAATACTACTTATACCTCAGTCTTAACTAAGAAAATTGACACTAAAGTAAGACATAAAGAAAAATGTTGCGACAATTGTGAAAATAATATACAATGTACTAAAATGGAATGTGATACATTACATGAAAGTATACTAGAAATAGATGAAGAAGATGAGACAGTTAATAAAAACTATGTTCTAATAGAAATGGAAACAGAATTATACAATTTTAAGACAGGAATTCAGCAAATAGGACAAATAAAAAATCAACAGGATCTTGATAATATAGTAAAAATATTAGATCAAATAGAAATAATAGGAGAAAAACCTTTAAAACATTAGGAGAATAATCAAATAATATGCAAGCTAGACATAATAAACCCAGAATATATAATAAAAACAGCCTCAACAGAAGCTACAAATCAAGATCAAGAAGACTTTAAAATACAAATTAAAGAATTGCTAGAATTAGGAGTAATAAGGAGATCCACGTCAAAACATAGATCTGCAGCATTTATGGTAAGAAATCATAGTGAAATAGTTAGAGGAAAAGCTAGAATGATTATAAACAATAAAAGACTAAATGACAATACTAGAACTGATGGTTATAAATTACCAGACAAAACAGAACTAATAAATAGAATTCAAGGAAAAACAGTTTTTAGTAAATTTGATTGTAAATCAGGATATTGGCAGATAAAAATGCACCCATATAGCATAGAATGAACAACTTTCACCTGTCCTGAAGGACATTTTGAATGGTTAGTTATGCCATTCGGGTTAAAAACAGCACCTTCAATATTTCAAAGAAAAATGGATCAATATTTGGAGAATATAAAAAATTTGTATTAGTATATGTAGATGATATTCTAGTGTTTAGTAAAAACATAAAAGAACATTTAGGACATTTACAAACAGTTTTTAGATTATTTGTTAATAATGGAATAATAATTAGCAAAAAGAAAATAGAATTATGTAAAAACTATATAAA